TGTACGCTCAGCATCCTCAGTTGAAAAGCTGAAGCCATCATAATGACCCAGTGGTGGAGACACACTCTGCATCCTAAACATCTTAAAAATGTCGTCCATGTCTGTTTTTCTTGCACTTCAACAAAGGAAGACTGTGTTTGTCAGTATTTTGAAGGGGTTAGTTGTCGGAAGCTGCCACATGTGCCTGTAGCACCAGTTTAGAACTTACTGAGGATCCTGCTCATATGGTGACACCTGCTGGACGCTCTTCGTCATGATGACAGCAAGGTCTAAACGCCCAGTAAGAAAAAAGAAAAGGGGAAGCTTTCTTTCTTTGTAAACAGCCTCTGCTCAAGCTCTGAGATGTCGGGAGCGCTGACATAAAAACAGCATCCGCTTTCATAAAAAACAAGTGGTGTTTTATTTTCAGTTGTGTCCGTAACTGATGCAATTTACTCAACTAGAGTGGGAAATGTATGTACTGTTATACTCTCTCAGTAAAGGGCTGATTTACATTATTTGTGTCAAAACACAAAAACATGAAAAAAGTAGTAAATGGAGTTAAATTAAAAATCAGCCCTCCAAATCAGAAAGGATTAAACTTACAAACGAAAAAACAACTGAAGAAAATAAAAACTAAATGAGAAAACTAATTAAATAATCTTAACTAAAGGTCCACTCACTGGGTTTTTTTAAGCTTTCAATCGCATCTCATGGTCTTCGGCAGTGAAGTTTGCTTAGTTGTCATCAGATAATGAAGACGATGAATACAGCAATAGCTAGTAAGTGGACCTTGACTCAAGATTACTCACACTAATTCTTCCAAAGTCAAGAATGAACTTTTCCTGCTTGAATATAATTGTTTGTTACAGCAGAATCTGATGTGCAGTTAATCCCAGCCGTACTTTGAAACTAACTGCAATCAAATCAGTGAAACTTTTCTTCTTGACTGCTATCACGTGTCTCAGTAAGTTCCTGTTATCAAAACTCCTCAGACTTCGAATGCGACAGTTCGGCTCCAAAGTCTTCCTCATCACTGTGTTTACTGAGCCTGATCCCCCTGGTTCTTCTTCTCCTGCCATGACTTCTTCCTCAGCTCCAGCTCGGTGTCGGTGAATGAGGCCGGACCCCAGTTAGTGATCCTCTGAGGTCCTTTATGACCTGAAGGACCAAGTTAAAAGAGAAGGGAGGAATACCTTTTTAACAGGATGCATTTACAGACAAAATAATTCATGTATTTAATGTATTTTGTTGTACTGGTTCTTAAAGGTGTGTAACATTTAAGAGGATCTATTCATAAGATAAGACATTTAACTGGAACTAAGAGGTCATAAATACACAACACATACCTTTGATCATATTGTGTACCTTGCTGCAACTTTCAGTATAAAAAGTTTTTTTTGTAAATAAATCCTTAATTCAAATTGTGGGAAATTACATTGTCAAAATCTTGCAGAAAGACATCATGAACCCCTATTTTAATGAATTAAATGCTCAATCTCAAATACATGTGTGTAATGATAATTCAGTAATTAACCAGACACTACTAAAGAACAACAATCAGTTTCCCTACCTGGCTGGATGAGACGCACCAGCCCCTCATGTTTGGCCACCTTGTCCTTCCAAGTCTTTGTCTTGTTTGCTGCTCGTTCAAGCTTCTTGGACACCTCCTGTGTAGACAAAGACGAAGTAAGGGAAAGAGATAGATGGATTTATGGATGAAGGACATTCAGAGTTGAAGCAGTTCAGCCAGCAGGAGGAGCAGCTGCTGTGTGACCAACTGTGTCTCTAAGTTGATGAGTCATGATATTGACGGTTTAAAGCCGTGGTTTCCAAACCCTTTACTTAAGGGACCCCTTTTCTATCTTAAGTAAAGCACTCCTGACTGACAGTGACATATTTTATGGATATTTCATCATATTCATATATCATATTCAATCTATAACAATGACTTTAAAGAACAACTGATAAACTCTAACATGAACCCTGAATTTTGAACCTGTGAACATTGAGCAGATTACCTTCTGTGACTATTGCATCAGAGGTGAGTTTTTAGTAATGCTTTATACAATTCTGTCTGTATTATGTATTTCCTCTCATTGTTAACAACCGTTTATACTTAATAGGTTTCCATTTGACAAATGCAGTGGTTCCTTCTCCCTGATGCTTGGCTATTCTTTTATTAGTGCTTTGGCTTGTCTTCAACTGCATACTTTCCTAATGCAGGACAAGGATATGAATATTGCTAGTGTTCAGGTCTTCATCATGCCCTTATCCTGTGAGATTTTTAGAGTTAGAGTTCAAATAATAATCTAAACTCTGAAAATAACAATTTCATTTGGTTTTCTTACATCCTTTAAAATCAGGAAGGCCTCATGACCCCCTGCAAAGCTTTGGGATGCCCAGGTTGGGAACCAGTGGTTTAGAGCAAATGTGAAACATTATACAATGAAAAAAACACACTTAGAGGTGGAGAAGAGTACTTTTTTTACCAGATACAAGAACAGAGCCTTCTACTAAATAGAAAAAGTAACAAAACAACTTCTGATGCAGAGAGACAATTTTCATGCTCACTGTAAATTCCTGGATAAAGTCTAGATCAATGTAAGCCTCCACATGTGTGAGCTGACCTCGTACTGCTCCAGTGCTCCCTGACGCTCCTTCTCCAGTCTTTCCAGCTGAAGCATGGCTGCCTGCAGGTCTCTCTCCTTGGCCCGCTGCTCGGCCACCAGCTCCTGCTTCTCAGCCACAGTCTGAGACAGCGCCCTCTGCTGCTGCAGGTGGATCTGCTCCAGCTCTGCCCTCTTTGTTGCCTCCTCCTCCAGCAGCCTGTGATAGAAAACACAGCAATGATGCTTAAGTTGTCAATTTTACCCACTTAATTCCTGTTCAGAACAAAGGGGGATAAAGAGCTGGAGCCAGAACACAAATTATAAACACTTTGTAAGTTCAAACAGGCTGAGCACGGACAATCACGTTCACTTTAGACAAATTCAGGCTCCAGTAAATCTGCCCTGCATATTTTTGGATTATGGCAGGAATCCCACACTAACACAAGGAGAAAATGCAGACACTGTCTGCTGTGAGGGTATTTCACACAGCTGGGCCACTGTACTGTGCTTCAATGTACTGTATCATATTGTAAGGGTTCACTACTTTTATTTCTATTTTAACATAAAAAGAAATGCTGGTGGTGTTTATTTAAAATTTGAAAGGAAAACAAACAGTAGTAATAAAATCTGATTTAAAATTGCAGAATTTCAGAACACGCAGCAGCTTGACCATGTCTCAGCTTTTGTCATTATTCCTCTCACTTCCTATTCCTGCAGGCATTTAATGTGAACTGTGGGAAACTGGAGGGTGGCCGGTTAAAGTCCAGCATGGACCAAACAACCACTCTGTGATCAAAAAGTAAATATCGACAGCTTAATAAATACTGCAGATTTGTTAAACCGGTTTGTATTACATCATATAGGTCTTCATATTACTGTATTTACTCCACATACTATCCAGTACGTGTGTATGTGTGTGTGTGTGTGCATGTGTGTATTTGAGACCTGCCCTGCAGCTTGCGCATGGACTCCTCATCCTGCTTGGCCTGCCTCTCGTCCTCTAAGGCCTCCTCCAGCAGGTGGTACATGTCCTCCAGCTCCCGGACGCGCTGCAGGTACTGCTCCAGTTCACTGGACTTCTGAGCCACCTGCTCCTCCATCTGCTGACGCACCTGAATGAGTCCACACACACATATATAATGTCGCACATTCTCATACAACAGGCTATTGAACCCAGCTACCCAGCTAATCTGCACATAAAATGTAAATCTTCTTATTTCATACTCTATTTGTGACATTTCCTGTATTTAAGCTTCATTTACAGCTACCGTTGTGTTGCTGCAATGATGCAATGTCACTTTGTATCTGAATCAAAGGCCTTTCTCTGTTTAGTCACTGAAGTAAGGCGATATATTAGAGGTCTGTACATCTGACATTCAGACAAAAGATGACTCAATATCTTGGGATATATCCTTTTTTATCTTGTGTTTCCTGGAAGGACAGAGCCACAGATGGGTGCCTGTGACTTAATCAGAAAATAAAAATAGAATAAAAAGAGAGTCTTAGTCTACTAGACTCATTAGTTTTCATTCTGAACCTTTGACAAGACCATGTGTCAAAACATATGCCGCGTCACACTTCAAGCCCACACGATTGCACAAATCCACAAAGGAGGAAAGGGGGTGGTGGAAGGCAGACTCAGGCACAATGGTTACCATTTTCTCTCTCTCCAGGTCCAGTCTGTAGCGATCCTGCAGGTCTACCTGAGTCTTCTTCCTCCTGTGCTCCTCTATTGCTGCTCTAGCTGCAGCTTCTTCCATTTTCTGTAAAGCACAAAAGAGGAAAGAGCTATCACTTCTCTGCTTGACTGGAGACCGCATCAGGCTACAAGGGGAAATCCTTTGAAGGCAAACAAGTCTTAATAAAGAACCTTAGATCAGTTAAGGAGGCTTCTGTGGTTCAGTATACATTTCTAGGCCAAATAATTAAGAATAATATTCAAGAGCAACTTCTCTGTCTTTGTAGTCTCTTATATTATATTCTACCTAGTGACACCAGGGTGTATTAAGGAAAAGATTAAAATACTGAAATCTGTACGAGTAAGTGGACTTAAAAAGTAAATGAGTTTGTGCTGTTTGAAAAAAAGCCATCTGGCGGGGTAAAAAGAGAAGTGAGAAGCCATCAATAATCTGCAGCAGCTCTAAAACAATTGAGTTTAGACACTGGGCTGTCAACCTCATGCAGGTGTCCCTGACTGGTATATACAATCATTTGCATAGCGAGTTTTGCTTCCCTTTTCACTGTGAATGTTCTGCTGCATCATGTGTTTTTTTAAAATCCAATGGTTGTTATTTAAAGCTGGAGTATGTAAAAATAAAGAGAAGTGGACAAAAAGTGACCTTTTTTTTTTACTGGTAATGGAGTTACACAAACTCTTGCATCATTAATGAAATACATCCATGTTTTAGAACATCTTCAGGATTATCTTAAACATCTTTGAGAAGACGAGAAGCTGACCTCTACTATTGAAAATAAAAGAACTTGAAAGATGCTCATGATATTTTGCAGAATGTGTTGTCATCTAAAGAGATTTACATTTATTTATTAGGATTTATTTTTCATAATAACCTACAGGGGTTAAATAAAATAAAATCATGTGTATAGTATAAAGCCACCCTGCAATAATATGCATGAGACAAAAGTGTTTACTGAAGGCAACATGACGGGACAAGGACTCCTGTGTGTGACATTTGAGTTAGCTAAGCATGAAACAGTACCTTCCTCATATCCTCCAGCTGTCTCTGTTTGTTCTCATTGGCAACCTGGAGCTGCTTCATCCTCTCTGCCAGGTCGTCTTCCTCCGCCTGCTGCCTCTGCCGGAGCTCCTTGCGCCTAAGCCGGGCTTCGCGGTGAGGAGACGGCAGCCCCAACCTCAGCAGCTGGATGCATGTTTGAATAGCTGCCGCGAGATGGAGCGAGAGGGGAATCACTGATTGATCAACAACAATGTGACTATAGACTGACATTTAAAAATATAAAGCGACAAAGAAGGTTTGTGATGAGAGTCTTTATGATGAGGCAGAGCGGTGGAAAATGACTACTCAATACCTTGAATCCATTCCTGCTTTTTCTTTTTATCTGATGCGCTGATCTCAAAGCTTTTATCAGTGCACTTGATAATGAACAGGCATTTCTTCCCTTCTTTATCTGGAAGAGACTGAAGGAGAGAAAAACATAATGGCACTCTCAGTCACATCATACTAAATGTACAAAACCATGCGAGTTCATAAAAACTCAAAGAGCCGCTGCTGATTCTATTTCTGAACTAAATGAGATCCTTCAGGAAATGTCAGTGAGAATTTACTCATAATAACAAAATAATTTAGTCAATACAGCCCAACAGTATTCCTTATACATGTTACATATTATATACTATCAATAGATAACACGCAAACAAAACAGCTGTACAGTTAACCTCCACACAGCAGTATCGGTCCAGAATGATGTCCCCTTTCTTCTCCACAAGATCCTCACAGACATAGTACGACAGGGAGTTGGGTCGAAGGACAAACCAACGTTCGGTCCAGTTCTTCCTTTTGTGGCCCTTTTTCATCATGTATTCCTTTAAAGCAAGTAAATAATCACATTTGAGTCAGTTATTCTACCATGATCAATGTGATATATTAAACATAAGATGCTATGTTACTTAGATCATTAATATTGAGCAAATAATTGATTAATTTGTAAAACAACATGTAATATATAGTGTAACATATTAACTAATATGTTCCAGCATTAAAGTTGAATAGCTTCAGTAGAATCCATTTTTTTTCTCAATAATGTGCGTATTTATGCATTAAGGTGCTGACTGTGTTTACATTGTGATCAATAATATGAATATGTGAATGATTCCCATCACTGTTATATAGTGGTTGTAGTGTATAGCTATTATTGTAAAAACTGTGTTTTTGTCCAACGAAACAATAAATTATATATTATTATTATACACTTCATAATAATGTCAGTCTAACAAAAGAATATATATATATAAATGTGTGTGTTATCAATGCGCTAACCCTGCTGATAATCACATTTAGTTTATAGGGAGATCCATGTCCTGTCTAACCTGCTTGAGCACATCCAGTATGAGCTCCTGGAAGACCTCGTTGATGCCCATGGACAGGGTCTGGCAGTTCATGCCCTTTGTAAAGTAACCCATGCCCAGCAGTTCAATCAGCTCCCAGGCAGTCAGGCAGTTTTTCTTTGTGTTAAGCTGCAGCTTGTAATCTGCAAACTTCTCCTCACTCCATCCGCTCCCCATGGCGTCCATCAGCTTTCGCAGGAAGTACTCAATCTGAGGAGATGAACAGGCAAAGGAGGGGGTGGAAAGAAACGTGTCTCCTCTTTGTTCGATTGTTTACTTGCAAGTAGAGTCTGACTGATATATCAGTCGGCCAATATTAGCCTGTTGCAGATACATCGGGAGCCTCTCTGTGTTTGTGCATATGTTATCCGATAAGTGCTGTTATGTAAACAGATTTTTCTGGTATATAATGCAGAAAGAAAAGCTTGCGGTAATATACTGGTGTCACTTTGTATAGTAGTTTATGCTGCAGATTGCACTTTGGCTTAAAATACTGTGGCATTCTTTTCATTCTATTCTTTAATAAAGTTATTTGTTTAAGGAAGCAGTCTTCTGAGTATATCTGTATTGTCATATCAGTGTTAAATCACTGCACAATCTACATAGAGAAGGTCTATTTTCAGCTCACAAATTCACTATATCGACCGTCATATCAGTAATGTGTGAATTTCTCCCCTCTAAAATTGGCATCAGTCCTAAAAAGCAAAGAAAAGAAAACAGAAAACAAAGATCTTCCTCACCTCTTCAGTAATGATGACTAGTGGGTATTTGTCTTCTGACAGAAAGTTGAAAATGCACCAGACTTTGAAAGCATCATTATCTGAGATGAGTAGCTGTTTAGTGCTGATGTTTTTCTTGTAACACAGAGTCCAGCACATCTTGTTGAACTCCAGTACATCAAACTCTTGCTGTACCTGGGAATAAAAAAAGCAGCATTCAATCAGAGTCAAAGTCAAACTGGTCAGCACCAGTGAGCACAGTGTGTTTACAAATGCTAAGCAGGAGACTGGTGTTTGTCTCCTTTCAAAACCTCGAGTCTGCAGGATGTGAGGTACAAACCTGATGTAATTAAATGCCTCATTTTTATTCAAGTCAGAGCCTTCAAGAGAAAGGCAAGAAAACAGCTTCCAAGCACAAAGAGTGAAACTCAAGCAGTTTACTAACTGACATGTTACACTTCAGCAGATGTGTTTGTGGCGTATTGCACTGTGCTTGCTAAGCAAAAACTCTATCAGAGACAATAATTCCCCTTTTTGCAAAGAGTGTATAAGGAACCAATTGTATCTATGGATTCATCTACATTTGTTAGACTACCAATAAACACATATTAGACAAAATAGACTGTTACACAGGGCACAACAGAGAAGTGGTCATAACCATTTCCTCTCAAACCAGGTCATGATTAGTCATCCTAATCTGTGTCATACAGTCAGCAACAGAGCAGAAGTGTTTTTCTTTCTATTTTTATTGTTTGTGTAACTGTCTAGTTAAGTGACATTCAGTAAAGCTAGGTTAGGTATTGCACCTCATTACTTCCTAATACAGAATCAAATGTGACCATAAAACCCTTCATATACACCGATCAGACATTATGACCACTTGGGCACCCTGGTGGTCATAATGTTATGCAGCCCAGTGTATATAAAGGAAGTACCGTAACAGTGGCACTGGGATTTGTAATCATGTTTTCTTATTCTTTGATCAGTTAGTTACTGATTCAAAGTTATCCATGCAAAGCCCTTGTACAGCTGCTTGTGACTAGATGACATTTAATGTTGCTTCCTTTGTTTTGGTAATGGAATCACAACTTTTTTCTTATATGTATCACTGAATTTGCTGTCTAGTACTGTTTTCAGGTACACAATTGCTTCTAGTTAAGACCTCACGTATGTCTTTAACTGATTAGAAGTGTGTTTGTATCACTGTATAGCTGCACACCTACATCCATAGTGAAGATAGAATAAAGATATTGGGGGGAAAAAGTACAGAACCTCAAGTATCATGTAAAATTTTAAAATGTCAAACAATATCGAGCCCCAACCATAATTTTGGCAAATAATAGTGCATTGCCTGGATTAAAAATTCTCCTACAAACTATTTCAACATCTTCGTCCCCACCTTGTCGAGAATAAACTTGTTGAGGTAAGGCATGTAGCCCTGGTTGGACAGAGGTCCTTTATCATCATCCTTAAAATGCTCTTCAAGGGCCACAGGGTCATGAGGGATCTTCATCACCGTGCAAAGGTTGTGAGATAGCACCTAAAGAACCACAATGTGACATGAGTACAAGATGCATACAGTCACACATCACTGCTAAATGAATATAAATAAATATAGTTCAGATTTTACTACCATACATGCATCATTGACATTTACAAGCATCACTGCTCAAGTGTTACTTCTGTTCTCGAGGGTGAAATTTCACAAACTAAAGGTTCTTTCTACTGTATAGTTCAGATGTAATAATCGAGGAGGGTTTTCAAACGTACAAGCACTGTAGCTTCACATCAACAAGGACCGATATTCAATTCTAATAACTTCCACTTACCAGTTCAAAGTGTGCTGGTAGATACAGTAGATGGTGGACCATAAATACATATATATCTAAAAATATGCTTTAGGGGAGAGTTTTCCTGCCAACTCTGCAGTGTTGTGAGAGCATATGTGAGAGATGAAAAACCCTGCAGGATCCTTGAAGTCAGACTGTGTCTTTGTCAGGCTGGGCACATAGACATCAAACCCAGCAGGCAAACAAACTCAGGCTCAGGCTGTCATACAGCAAAACACCACCACTCTCTGGCCTTTGCTTCAGTAAAACAGTCTGTAACATGTTTTTGAATTTCTTTGACAACAGGAGAAGTAGATTAAACTTTTTAAAACTCCCTACAATGAGCATTAAGTACGGGTTTTGATTACTTTTACTAGTAAAGTAGTTATTTTATATTGTTGTATTGGTGCTTTTACTTACAGTTGTCAAGGGATATCTATAATGTATATTTTACTTTGTACTGCAGAGATGCCAATATGTTGAGTTACACTTGTTCACATATATGTTGCAGAAAATGTCCTCATATATAAAGTAAAAGTATGTAAGTATTATCAGCATAATGTACTTAAAGTATCAAAAGTAACAGTACTGTGCAGTTAAATAGTTCCTGTCAGTGTTTTACTATTATATATATTTTGTTTTTTGTAATGTGTATCAATATTACTGCTGCATTAATGTGTATGTTGTATTTTACTGCTGTAGATGTTTAAGGCTGAGCTCATTTGAACTACTTTACATACTGTTGAGTAGTTTAATCTTCAGCGATGCTTCATATTCTATAAGATCATTAATTTCTAAAAGTTTTTACAAGAAAACAACCCGTTTTCAGCTTTGAGACAATGCATTTTCCTGCTTATCCAATAAAGTTTTATAAACAATTGTTTATTTAATCTTAGAGAATTTAATCCTTCAGTATATCAGAAACATTCACACTCAAATTCACCAATATTTGGATTTATATGGTTTTCACTGCACATGAAAAATTGTCCTCTGAAAAGTAACTAGTAACTAGTCAAATGTAAATGTAGTGGAGTAAAGTACTTTAAATGTAGTACTTAAGTACAGCAGGCTACTTGAGTACCAGTAGCACAACATAAAGAACAACATGAGTAAATATACTTTCCACCCAGTAAAACAAAGTTGAGTTGTATGCTTATCATCGGAGTACACACACACTGTCTAACGTTAATGAAGTACACAGTTAGTTTGAGTGTGTTCGTCCTCGATGGCGTCTGAACTTGTGAACAAATAGAAGAAGAAAAAAACGAGAACCGAAACGCACCTTTAACTGAGATTTGGAAACTTTTCCACGTTGATCCACGTCCAGGGCTGTGAATGCGTGCCATATGGACTTCAAAAGCTCCTCTCGAAGCCACATTATGTCTCTCTGTAGCACCGAGCAAGCAGCAGGTCTGTCTGTCTGTCTGTCTGTCTCCCCGTCGGTTGTGAGTCAGTTTAATGTCTGTGTGGTCTTTAACTGTCCGCCTCTCAGACACGAAGCAAGTGTGATGATAGCGCCACATAACGTTTCACTGTCACCCTCCAGCCAGGGGCTGCTTCCTCCTCAGTACCACCGCTGCATGCTTAACTAATGCTTAACTAATGCATGACTCATGATGATTTAATGGAGGATGTGTCCTGTTGCTCAACACTCACAAATGATCAAAGTTATGTGACTTTCTGGGATTAATTTACACTTAAAAGATCAGTTAAGTTGATGTTAGTTCACAGTTATTAAATACATTAATTAATATGAGACCAATTAGATGGATTCCTCTTTTTATAAGAGGTTTTCAGGACTTTGCATTTTCTTTTTTGAACACTTTATTTATCCAGTTTCTTCATACAGACAGTAAAGAAAGATTCCTATCTTCATACTATACTCTACCAAGTGTTAGTATGTATGTATGTATGTTTGTTTGTGTTGTAAAAAGCAGTGGAGCTTAAACATGTCTCATCACTCTCCTCTAATTCATCCATTATGTTGTAAATGTGTCAAACACGCCACTCAGTCTATTCTCATAGAAATATGAAGCCATTTTGTTTTAAATTGAGTCTGAGGAAATGCATGATCCTGAAATAAACTTTTATGTAAACTGGAATTCTGCTAATTTGGTCACACGTTTACATCCCTGAACCGATGATCTATTAAGTGTGAGCTAAACCCAGAACTTCATATGACTTGACCATTTTCCCAGTGGTGAGCAAACAGGAATTCATGATACAACCTGGATTAATTCATGCATTAAATCATCATGAGTCATGCATCATAAGTATTTGATTTGTATCCTTATTGTGTCACTAATATGTCTAAAATTAGAAAAGCAAAGATTATAATCAGGAAAATGTATTGGAGTAAGTATTCAAGGCAGACAATCACTATTATATCATTATTATTATTATTACTCATTTTGTGTAGGACAGCAACTGTTGATTATTTTCATTATGGATGAATCTGCTGATTATTTTCTCCATTAATCGATTGTTTGATTTGCAAAGCGTCTGAAAACAGTGAGAAATGTCATTACATATACCCAGAGTCCACCTTTAGTTACACATTTAAAGTGCTTGTTTCATCCATCAACAGTTCAAACCTCAAAATAATGAAAACTGTGTGAAACAATATGTGAAATATGCTTGTTTTTTTTATTTTAACAGACTCCTAGTCTTCTGAATTAGGTAGCTGGAGACATTTGGCTCTGTTGTGGTTGTCTTGGAGATTACCTGTTCCAGTACCTGCATTTGTGTTTCTGTCTTGTGGGTTTGTAATCTTAAACATACTATTGTTGAAACTGTAAAATGAATTGGTGCCCTTTGTCTGGAGTTTATGGTAATTGGCTGACCCATGAGAGCAGCTGATCAAGCTCACCTGGGTCCCTGTGCTCACTCTCTCCCCCTTCTTACAGCTGGCATCATCTGTCTTTTGGTTTGTGTTCATCTTTGTTTAATCAATTACAAGTAAATCTCTTATGTGGACTCCATATTTGTCAAATTTCCTGAGCCAGTTTGTGACAATCATATTTTGTTTTAGTTCATTCTTTCAGGGTTGTATTGTCTCCTTGACTTTTATACACAAGCCACTCTAATTCAGGTTGACTCTTATTGTCTCTGTTGGGTGAGCAAAAAAAAAAAAAAAAGTTACCAATGTTCTAATTTATTGTTAAAGCTGTACTTCTATATGGTTTGTTAGTAGTTACATTTATTACAAAACATATACAATCTTTTGTGTTGTGAAGTAAATAAAGCTGTCAATTGTAGTAATGTACAATAATTCCCTCAGAAATGGAGTAGAAAGTGGCATGACAAGTACGAGTACCTCTACTTTGTTATATTCCACCATCGCTGCATATGATATAGGATGTACTATTACCACACTTGTATTTGATTAAATTCAAAGGTCAAATGTACTTATTTTATTTTTTACTATTCATCCCAGTAGGAAAAGCAAAGGTGTTACTAATGGTGGCTCTGTGAGCAACAACAGACAGCAAACATGCCCAATACCAGGACCCTGAGCAGGTAAATGGTTTAGTTTATTTTGAACCTGTGCTTTTCCCACTGAGACGCGTTGAACTGTCCTCTCTGAAAGAAAGAAAAAAAAAAAAGCCTATCCAGCCTTGATTATGGGTTTAACTCTGCTTTATACTGCAGTGTCGTTCTGTCTTTCTGCAGGTTGCAGGATAACTCATTGTTCATCTCTGACATGACAAAATTGTCAGGATAAAGTCACCAGTGATTCATTCATTCATTGCTTCAGAGCTGCTGTGTGGAACCAAAACCTCAAACCGGGCTTGTGTGTATAAATACAGTGTGACATCAGAAACAGAAAAGCTCAACAAAAAAGTGAAGCTCATACTAATATACAATAAATTCATAAAGCAGAAGAATGTGCCTGTATAAGGAAAGACTTGAGGTCATGAAACTCCCTTAGCTTTTTTCTTTTAATATGTTGTTGTATATATAGATGGTTCATCCATACACCAACCAAAAGCTTGAGACCTTCACGATAAGTCCAATTGTACATGCTTCAATGATGTATTCAATTGTACTTTCAGTGCTCAAAAACACATGTCCTGTAGCCATACTGAACACCAAGAGCATTCTCTTTTTTCCTGAAATCAATGTTTCCGAGTTGCCCACTGATCCACTCTGTAACCAGATGCGTGACAACCAGCCATTACATAAGTCGCTTGCAAAGTAACAAAGTTACAGCTGTTTTCATTTTAAATAGTCTTCAATTTAAAAAATTTGCAGTCTGATACAGAAGGCTAGGAGACCTGAACAATATGAAAGTGCTAGTCATTAATTTACAGAGATCAGGCATCACATAGTGCTATGAAGTATCCAATATGCTACATATGAATACAGCTGTTAACACCTTACAAATGCCTCTGGTTGTTTTTCAAGGCTACTTGAAAAACCAATAACCTTGGCTTGTATGTACATAAACATGAGTGTTTGTTTATGCAGAAAATAACGAAGATATCACCACTACCAGAGGTATAATCATATTACGGCCATGTAGCCACAACAGTGATAATGAAATATTTAGTCCCATTATCAATTTCTAACTGTTAATCCCCCAAATTTGTTTAAGTGGGAAAAAAAACAAAAGAGTTGCCGTCATGGTATCCCCTCCACACTGGGCTCCAGAAGACAACGTTGTTCAGAGCTTCTTCTCTTGCATCGTGCTCAAGTTCTTGGTTTGTTTTCCCCAGCCATTGGTTGCATTTTGGTTGCTTTCCCACATCTTCTGGTGCTATTTCCCATTTGACAGATTGAAGAATGACTGAGAAGAACCAGTTCTGGAACCACTACTTAAGGGAACAACACAAGCTTTTTTTTCACTTCACTACAATCAGTCACAGAGTAATAAAAAGTAGAACGGATGACTCAATTCATTCCTGGAGCAGTGCCTCCAAAGTTGAAAGTAGATGGCACCACTGGCGCTGTGAACTTGTACCCGCCGTGTTTCTCGATCATCTTGGATTCTGTAATTAGATAATAAGTAACAGTACTTAAAAGTCACACATTAACATAGGGGAGGGAGAAAAGGGCTGTTTTCCTGAAGGTTTACTGTTGCTCAGTCAATTGTCTACACAGCTGGTGCTAAGCTGTTAAGCTGCTAAGCATAAAAGATGGCCATTTTAAGTGTCAGGAAGTACCCTGAGTCATTGTCTGCAGAAAAACACAGGAATCCATTTTTGAGACAAGGCCGGGTTTGTGATAGTCGTTTAACCTGTCATGCTATATATTATGGTATAGCTTCATCTTTTGGGACATTTTATGGCTTTATTATTAGTCAACAATAGAAGGAAACAGGAAATTATGGAAGGGAGATGAAGACATTCAACAAAATGGTTCCCAGTCAGACTCGAACAGTCGACACTGCAGTTCTTAATCAGTCCTTTAACCTCGAGGACACCACTTTGGCTTAAAGGCACTGAGGAGCCATGCAGACAGATGGTTCCACAGTGTATTGGCATTTTAGTATTGAATTAGGATTTTAAAGAGACTTATTGATTTTATGAGGTGAAAATGTGATTTTTAATCCTCCCAGGCTCACGTTAGGTCTAAAAAAAGGTGGTCAGTGGTTCACACTAGATACTAGATTGTGGTGCAACTGCGTAAAAGATATAAATACCCTTTATTCCAAGGGAATGTATAGATGAACGTGAACATTTAAATTAAAAAAGCAACTGTATTATGTATTAATAAAAAAAAAATGAGCAAGAAATAGCATGTAAAAAAAATGCTTTATTGTCAGAATGAAGTGCAGCATCAGAGTTTAACTGGAAAACTGGGGAACAGTCTCAGCTGGTGCTCACCATGTGCTGCCCGTCTCTGGTCTGCAAGTGTGCCAATGTCCTGAAGATGTTTGCCCTGATCTTCGTCAAGGGCCTGTGTTAGTGCCTGGTACCATGCTGGGTCACGGGTCTGGATATCTGCATCACAGTGAAGTGAGATTAGTGATCGATGGACATATTTGTTTTGCTGAATCATTCTATCTGAAATCGCTAGAGAGTGATTAACACAAGCTTTACAATCAACAGCTTGATGTCTTACTCTGTAGTATGGCTTTGAAGATCTGGTACTCGTCCACTAAGTTGTCTTCATCATCTACAGCTGTAGTGTAGCCCTCAAGTGCCGTCTCCTCGGCGTCGTCCTCCTCCCAGTCTTCATCATCTCCGTCCTCTCCCGCCTGCTTCGCCAACATCTCCAGGTACTCCTGGCCCTCCTCGTCAATGTCGTCCTCGTCGCTGCCCAGCTCAGCTACTTTCAGACAGGTAAGGCAACACCTTTCAATATCACTGAATACACCACCTGGCTGATGCAACACCGAGTACATCAAGAAAACCCCTGCCTTACCGTTGTCATCCTCGTCTTCCCCATCTTCGTCGTCGTCATCTTCATCATTCTCATGCTCTGCTCGACAGGCGTACGCCCTCTTGAGGCCATTGAACAGTAGGATGGCTGCTGGAAGAAGCTGGCCGGCCACCTGGTTGACAGCCTGAGGCCTGTGCTCGAGATCAATGAGAGCACAAAGTCCAAGAATGCA